CCATTTAGTGATGATTTAAGATGGAGAATGGTATTTCAGCATTTGTTTTATGCCAGAACCTTCGAGAAAACACGTGATATTTCTTTTAGTCTAAACGTCTAAATGACTAAATGTGTAAATGTGTATATCTCATTTTTCGGTGGACAACGTTAATGACATTGACTGTATAAAAAGCGATTTATTTATCAACCAAAGTGTACACTCTTTCATAAAATACCCGACACAAAACTAGTTGATTTTCCAATGCTTTACGTCATTAGTTCTGCAGGTATAACGTGTTGCAGAATGAAAATAACATTTTTCCAAGAATCATCTAGAAACAATAAGCTACGACAAGACGGAACAGCTTAGAGAGCAGAGGATTCAATATATTCTTCAAAATGACAACAATGATCAGAAAAGTATGGCGATCTCTGACAAAACCGGTATTTCACGTCATAATGGACAAAGCCGACAACACAAGTAAAGATGTCATTGCAGGACAAACAACACAGATTTGCACCATAACGATATACCTTCACGMGGATCGGAAACTAGGGAAACATCAGAGAGAAGTTAAATTTCCTCGTCTTATTATTGAKGAAGTCCCTGGTGTTGACATAAGTTTTGGTGATAAAATTCAACATGGCAGAGAAGCATTGGAGATAGGTGTGTTCGTTCGCGCCACTACATGCGGCAGATATTGTATAACTCCCAGGTTTCTTGAAAAAAAGTACAATTTTAAGCTGAATAACATCACGCCTGTTGATTTTGAAGTGAGACCAGCGCAGTTGCATTCTCTAGAGCTATTCAAAATAGGGTCAACCAGAAGTCAAAGAGAAATGTACCTAGGCAGCAGCGTTTATCGCGGCTGTCAAACAGAAATTTGGTTAAAAGCCAAAGACAAATTTGGAAACCCAACGATCTTAGACGATGAATTCAAGATATCCTCAGACAGCTCAAAATACGTGACGCTAATTTCGACTACTCCTGATATTGAGTTTGGAAACTATCTTGTCACGCTTCTGTGTAATGAAGTTGGAAGATTTTCTTTTGATCTATTATTGTCAAATACTGATATGAAGCTCGAGGTAAATGATTTTGAAGTCCTTCTTCCTCCTGTATCGCCAACAAATTCATATGTAGTTCACACCATAGAGGTAAACACGAGCCAGGAAAAAAGTCTGAAGGCTGGAAAAGTGATAACAAGTGAATTATTCCTCTACGACATTTTTGGAAATCAAATATCCTGTGAGGAAAGCAAAGGTTTTTTCGATGGAATTCGTCTTGTTTGTTGTGATGTTATGACATCAACTGGTTTCCATTCTCCACACGTGTTTTCCACTTCAACTCCAACAAAGGAAACCAAGAAGGAAGAAGATTCTTTAAAGGTGTGTACTGCAGAGTCAGATAGCAACGCCTGTGTCGTGAAATTCACGCCCCTAATAACAGGAAAGAGGTTGTTGTCATTGAACGTAGATGGTAAAGAAATAAAGAACTCTTCCATCAAGTTAACCGTCCAACCTGGTCCTCCACATGAAGTAGACATCCTCAGTCAGGAACCCTCTTCGTTGAGCGTTTATCGAAGTCGTACAGCTAAAATCTGGGTGACTGTCAAAGACGAATTTGGAAATCAACATACTGGAAGTGATGTAAGTTTTAAGGTGCTTTCCAAAGGTTCGTTTGTCACGTTGCTGTCGTTCACATATGACCCAGAGAAAGGAGGCTACGTTGTCATAGTACGTGGTGATAAAACTGGTAAAACATCATTTGACTTGATTGTCTCACGACACAACCGTGAAGTAGTAAAGTGTATCTCATTGGAAGTCATCACTCCGCCTGTATCTGGGTCAAACTCGTATGTTCTCAAAGTTGATAAAAGACAGAATAGCATTCTGAAGGTTGGAGAAGCCATGGAACTCGCATTAATGCTCCACGATATTTTTGGTAATAAAATATCCTGTGAGGAAAGCAAAGGATTTCTTGAAAGGCTTCGTCTTATCTGTTGTAAGGTTAGGGCATCAACGTGTTTCCTCTCTCCACACGTGATTTCCACTTCAACTTCAACAAAGAAAAGCAAGAAGGAAGAAGATTCTTTAAAGGTGTGTCCTGTAGAGTCAAATAGCAACGCTTGTGTCGTGAAATTCACGCCTCTAGTAACAGGAAAGAGGTTGTTCTCGTTGAACGTACTTGGGGAAGACATAAAGAACTCTTCCATCAAGTTAACCGTCCAGCCTGGTCCTCCACATGAAGTACAAATCCTCAACCGGGAACCCTCTTCGTTGAGCATTTATCGAAGTCGTACAGCTAAAATCAAGGTGACTGTCAAAGACGAATTTGGAAATCAGCTTACTGGAAGTGATGTAAGTTTTAAGGTGCATTCCAAAGGCTCGTTTGTCACGTTGCTGTTTGTCACACATTACCCAGAGAGTGCAAGCTACGTTGTCACAGTACGTGGTGATAAAACTGGTAAAACATCATTTGACTTGATTGTCTCACAAGACAACCGTGAAGTAGTAAAGTGTATCTCAATGGAAATCATCACTCCGCCTGTGTCTCATTCTAACTGTTACATCCCTCAGAATGACATTGAAACTCTACAAAAAACGATCCATAAATCTGGCAAAGTCATAACATTTCAGYTAAAGCTAATTGATATTTTTGGAAATCCGATTGCCTTTGAAGAAAGAGGTAATTTCCCAGAAAATGTTCGCCTTGTCTATCTTCATGATGAGCTTCCTGGCTGGTCGAGCTCGGACGGGAACAACAGAAGGAAAAAAACTTCTTTAAGAGTCCGTCGTTGTGAATTTGATTCTTGTGAGCTCGGGTTTACACCATTAAAAGCTGGAAAAAGATGGTTCTTTTTAGAAATAGCTGGGGAAATGTTGAAGAACTCTAAAATGAGGCTTGCTATTTTACCAGTGGAGGGACAAAATGTGGAGTTAGATTTCGAAGAATCTTATGCCTGTGGAACTTCTGGAGATAAAGTTCGTACAATTTCTTTCAAACAAGACAATTACATTGAATTCTACGAGCATCATAGGAACATTCTGTGCAAGGGCGTCTCAAGAAGAGAACTTGTTGGTGCTGACAAGGCAAATATCAAAAACATTAACCGCGTCTTAGAGAAAGAATACCCGGATTGCAAACTATCTAACGACATGATAACCCGAGATTACGTAAGACTTGTGTTGTTTGACCTCAGTAATTTTCCAGAGGCTGCAGCTTTGAAAGTCTTGGAGCTTTTGTCGCTTCTGGTTGGGAGTGAACATTGTAGGAGTCAAGCGAATGAGATGGGCGATCAGAGAGAAAAATGGCAAGAGGAAGAACAACAAGCAATTCTTGATGAAAATAGCAGAGAAGCCAAAGAGTTTAGGGTCGTGAAACTCGAGTGCGGGAGGTTAATGAATGAAAATAATGAGAAAGCGTCCGATTTCATTTTTAAATTTTACAACTATGGTCGCCCTCAAAGTGAGATTGATCTTCATGGACAACGTGTCGCAAATGCTGAGAGACTAAGAGAGCTACGAGCAAAGCTTCTCAGGGAAAATAAAACCGAGGCGCAGGTGCAAGAGATAATCGAAAAACAGCGACAAAAAAGGGACGAAGCTATCCGTAAACTAGATGAAAGAATAAGAACTTTTGATCACGAGAAGGCAAAAAGAGATGGTGAAGATTGGCTGGAGATAATAGACGGGGCAGGACATCATTCAGCAACTAAAGGCCAGCAAAAAATAAGGCCAAAAGTAAAGGAATATCTTAAAAAGAAGARCATTAAGTACGTGGAGGCGAACGAAGGAGCACTGCTAGTTACTTTCTCTGAATACACTGGACAACAGCCATGCGTGGGAAACTTTTACTGTACAAAATGCAAGAAGGGATGGACCAGCATTTCAAGTTGGCAAGGGTTTTATCAGCTATGCAACAAGTGTTATGCCAAGGGAACCGAGTCCAATTGTTTACCATTCAAACTGAGATCTACACTCCCCCCAAAACGACAAGGGGGTGAATTTACTCGCCAAGATCACAGAAGACTGTGTGAAAAGTGTATTCAACTAAAGAAGGACTGTAGACGAAAGAAATGATTGCCAAAATAGGCAATCAGCTGAGATTCACTGTGATGCTGGAATGGTAAATCCTGCAAGCATTGAGTACGCCAATGAGAAAAAATCTAAAACAATACTACTATACAATACTACTATACTATGTCTAATCTTTGCGTACATATTTACGGTGTTCAATTTATCTATAGAGAAAAAATATCGCTCTGGGATCCTCACGATTACCCTACATTTCATATTCTGGCTGCGTTACCAGCGTGGTTGGTCCTTGTAGTGTAGTGGTTAACACATCGGACTGGAATACCGAAGACGTGGGTTCGAATCCTGCCAAGGGCATTTGATATTTTTCTCTTATTCTCTCTAAAACAAAAAACGACAACCGAATACTCTAACTTTGAGTTATCTGTTGGTCTATACCACCAAAATGGCCGCCATGTCCATCTTTCGAGTTTAAGGAGTAATATAGTAACACTTGAGTGTTTCGTGCAATATTCAACGCCGAGAGGTGCGTCGGAAAAGCGAGGCTCAGCTTTTTTGACTAACTTTGAGAAGGAGATAGTCTTCAAGTTTTAGTGTTTGAACCATTACTTGAAAAGCGTAAAAATATCCAGGTATTTTGGACTTTTTTTTTTTCGATAGAGCTTTTAAGTGTGCCGTCACTAAGTGTGACGTCACTGGTATGGAAAACGACTTTCGGCTCTGAAACGAAAAGCAGTTCTATAAAGACTTTTTCTTTTACTTTTTCTTCACGACATGATTTATTGTCCAAAGTTCTAGTTTCAGGTAGAGATTAAATAATTGAGAACATTTCTGACTTGATTTTAACGGGGTTTTTTGAGCAGTTGTGTCCGGAAATACGATACAACTCAAACGCTCTAAACAACTTTGGCGCGCACATCGATAAGGATTTTCGGAGGAGTACTTACTTTCATAGGGCGTGGTCACGCTTTGTCCGGGTCTCAACACTCGGTTCGTTTTTCCATCACCAATGCTGTCATCAAGCCAGCAGCGACACGGGAAAACCACTGGTTCTGAGTTTGGAGCTTTGATTTCTATTTCCTCAACAAAAAGACCTTTGCCACCTTCCTGGCCGAGACGAATCTCATCAATCTGTCATTTAAATGTTAAAGTAAAATTAGACAAAAAAACCTTAAATTTTATCGATAACTGAAACAACCTCTGGGCTGATCAAAGTTACGGCATTTGACTTAGCTATTTTGTCCATCAACTTACATCTCCTATGTCTCGTAGATCTGCGATGACTTTGTAGGTTCGTCCCTTGACAAACTCACTTCCGTCAGAAGGAGAAAGATAGAGTTTTCCCGAATCTCCTTTCGTGCCGTACACCATCATGTACAGCTTGCTATGGGGGTCGATAACGTCACCAAGAGTGAATGTAACTAATGAAAAAAAAAAAAAAAAAAAAAAAAAAAAAAAAAAAAAAAAAAAAAAAAAAAAAAAAAAAATTAGACCAGTTTTAAATCAGTAAAAACGATGTATCTGGGTAAATAGGAAGCATAACCTATTACATTCCACCACTTTCTAAGAACTGACCGCTTTGCACAGGTAGTCGCTAATAGAAAACGGTCGACTGAAAAAGGCACTAGAAGTAAGCGGCGGTCGATTTATACAGGTGAAAAGGGTAATAARAAGAAGCGGTCGATGTGTACGGGTGCTTGCCAACAGAAAACGGTGTTTAAGGATGCCTTTAATTTGTAGCCCTTTCATATTTAGCATTTAGGTATTAGGTATTCTCATAGTGTTTTAAGCATCCTTTTTATACATAGTCTAGAGTATCAATATTAGTTTTTAGATATTAGTTTTAGATCATTAGTTTCTTTTTAGATATTAGTAATTTAGAATTGTAAATAGATATAGTTGTTAAGTAGTATATATTATTTTTTATTTTATTTTATTTTTCGTAAGTCCCATGAGAACGCATTTGGGCATATTGGAAAATGCGCTATATAAATAACATTATTATTATTATTATAATTATAATTATAAATAGAGGACTTACACAGGCAGCCCAAGTTGTATTATGGGCGCTGGTAAGTGGTGCAAAGCCTCTGTATACCAGTTTCGCATTCTTTGCATACCGCTGTTTTTGAAGACCACAGACTCATTTGTACAGTCTTAGCCTCGTTTATAGGCAAGCTATTCACAGGTACCATTCAAAGTCCGTGGGATTTCAAAACATTGGTATTGTTCAACTTGCACTTTCTTTACATTACAGTTGACTTTTGCAAATATTTGCTCTTAAGCAAGGCTAAGCCTGTACAAATGAGTCTGTAGTCATAAAACACAGTGGTATTTACCGAATGAGAAATGGGACTATTCCAAAATATCGGTAATAGAATGTGGCGACTTACATACAGAGTTAGTTGCTAAAAGAGGAAGATCGATTAGAGAATGCGGTCGATTTACAAAGGTAGTTACTACCAGAAAAGGTCGCTTTAGGGGGTCACATAAGAAAGTGGTCAATTTACACAGGTCAGAAAGTCACTTAGAACGGTCGGTTTCAACAGGTACGGGTGGTCACTTCCAGGAGTATGTGATAATTAGGGACGGACCATTAGATTTGTTTTTGAAAAAAAAAAATTCGAGCACAGCTTAAAAAAGTGGAAAAAAAATCGTGCATAAGAAAAGTGCCAGAAAAAAATTCCAAATTATGTCCAAAAAAATTCCTGCACAAAATAAATTGCCCAACACCTCCCCCCCTCAAAAAACTAATGGTCCGTCCCTTAGGGAAACGCAGTGTGGTTTTTGAGGCGCAACATGTTGAAGTTGTGCATTGAGTAACATCAACTTACTTTCATAAGGGAAAGTCAGTGTCTCTCCTGGTCGCAGTGTCCTCTCGACCTCACCATCATCGACGTCTTCAGACAACCAGCATCGACACGGAAAGATGACAGGTTTCTCTGCAGGAGCTGATATTTCGAGCTCCTCAATAAAGACTCCCTTGTCTGGGCCTGGTGACTCATGACCCACGGTCATGCTATGGATCTAACGAAATAGAAAAATAGAGAATTAGCCATTTGTGTTACTCAATACAACGGTACACTTAAAAAAAATACTCCAGGTTCAAGTTCTCTGTTGCTCAGGATTGACCTCGATTTTGTGCAGAATATTCATGTGTTCCAGTGAAAGCCTGTGGAATTTCAAAGCGTTTGTATTGTTGAAGATGTGCATTCTTTACTTTACCGTTGGTATTTGTGAATATTTAAACACTGATRCGAGGTTTACCCTGAGTAAGTGAGTCTGTAATCAAGGAACACAGCGGTAATAGAGGGCGAGGCTTTGCACCATCACGTGACGTCAGCCATGTTAGATGGCAGGAACAATAAAATCGTTTTACATGAGAAAGAATAAAATTCCCAAGAGCATGGGGTTTTTATTGTTCAGCCATCTAACCACAGGCAGTCCAAGCTGTATTATGGGCGCTGGCACGTGATGGTGCAAAGCCTCTATTTGTAACTCGACAAAGGTTTATTGTAGGAGAAGCTTGTCGTTTTTGAGSCAGGCGTTGCTAGATCATTAAAAACTAATTACAAGAATGCCTTACCTTTCCAACATCTTTACACTCGGTTATAACCTTGTATACTTTGTTGCTCTCTAGCTCGTTACCCTGCGAGGGACGCAGGTAGATTTTTTGCGAGTCTCCAGAATCTCCGTGGAAGATGAGATAGATCTCTGTGAAGGGGTCCAGAATGGGTCCAAGCCTGTAGGATACTGTGAGAAAAGCGCGGGAAAAACCTGATATTAGGCTACAGAAAAATGACTTTCAATTCAAGAAGTTATTTAAATTAAAACCAATAGCTGATAATACAGTTGTTCCCGCAATGATATATTGTGTTTTAAGAATCATACAAGTGAGGCTATCGGGTTGATACAATGCTTGTTGTCTCATTTGCATATCATTTAAATGCATCCATAATGTCTGCAATGTTTGTCCAGGAGTATCTAATTCAGCATGGCTAGTTTTGATGGCGTAAAAACTAGTAAAATGAGTGAATAAGAGGGAAACTTAAACTCCTGTAAAAGGGTTTGCAGTATGAAAAACAAATACAACTGTTCCTTTTACACATGTTTAATTTTACTTCATTCAARTTCGTATATTCAACACACTGGACCACGCAAACTAGTAAGCGCTGCCAGCTGATCTGACTTAGTGACGTAGAAATGACGTCACTGCAAAACTGAGTTGTCATTAAGCCTGTGAAAATTGACCTATAACATTATGACGTCACAGCTTGTTTACATGGGCAAGAATGATAGGAATTTAGGCGAAATTTTCTTTCGTTCGGGATATTTAGTACAACATTTATCTGTTATCACCTTTCCCCGTCTGATTAACCATTTTTTATTGTGATTTAATTCGTTTGGCCCCTAATTTGCCCCCTCTGGCGACTATGGTCCTTAGCGTTAAAACAATAGATTGTTTTGATGTGACGTCATAGTGTTATAGGGCAATTGACCAGCGAAAAATGAAAACCTGTCCATCATTGAAATAAAAATATAAAATTCATTAGTTATTGTGTCACTGTTTATCATTCGCGTATTAGCAACGCTTTATTATCATTTTTTCATTTGATCAGATCAACTCAGATCAACTGGTAGTCACTACGACTAACATGAGGCGTATTTCCTTACCTGTGTATAATACTGGCTCTGGTTCTGGGAAATGAATTTCTGAAATAAAAACACGCCTTGAATATTAATTTCTAAGCCTTAGTGGGGGAGGGATAGTGTGTAAATTATGTGTCTCTGTTAACAATATTATATACAATATATATATATATGTACAAGCTTTTCCTTACCTGATTGGACTGGCAGTTCTTTTTCAATAACTACAATTGGTTCAACAAGAGCTGCGAAAAAATGATAAAATTACTTAAATAAAATTTAACTTTAATGCTCAAGAGAAGGAAATTATTTTGTTTGGACCTCCAGATTGTGAATCAAAGGTTGTTAGCGCTAGAGCATTCGTCTCTCTCTTCTGGGGGGTAGGTCTCGGGTTAGATTCCTGGACACAGTATCTCATGTGAATTCCTTGGTCTCACTCAGCTGATAAAGTTTTTGAATCTCATTATCTGCTCCAAATGGTGGTCAAACAATGACCACCATGTGCTGTCAACCAGAAAAAATCCTATTGAAAACTTGTGATTCAGCTGATGAACATTTCGCAAGAGACAGGAAATGACACGTTCTTAGGTTTTCTCTCTTGATTCGAGGGTTTTTCTCCGGGTTTCCTCTCTCCACAAAACCTAAAACAATAAACTTTCCATACTCCAGTTTCGAGTTATCTCTTGCTCTCTGCGTTAGCCTTGATTGTGCGTAAATTATTCAGCATTTAGAGTGAAACCCGTGGAATTCTAAAGCAATTGTATTGTTCATTGTTATACATTTCTAACGTCATTACTACGGGATGTACCATTATGAAAAAAGTATTTTATTTTTTTCCGGTCCCATATCCTAAAACATCGTGCGTTCTGATTGGCTGTTTGAGCGGGCGGTATTTTGTCAGTATCTGCCCGCGCGCGCGGTCCGGTATCCTTTGCCGCTAAACGACAACACAAAGCGATTACGAAAACAAGTAAAAAATACGGGAAAAAATACGGGRAAAAAATACGGGAAAAAAACTGTACCCTCGGTCTTGAAAACGGCCTCGGTCCGTATATTCAAGACCTCGGGCACAGGTTTTCCCTATCCGGACCGACTATAGGACGGTAAATAACATATATATATATATGCTGTTGAGGCTAACACAGAGCAAAAGAGTACTCGAAACTGGAGTATTCGAGCCTTGCCCTGACGTCGATGAGCCCAGAGGTTGTTTCAGGGTATCWATAAGATTCTATAAGAAGTTTTTAAATCAGTGCAAGAGGTCTTTATACCTGGTTCCATCTCAACCTCTACAAGAGCATCAGATTCGTCTCCAGTCAACCACCGATTAACAGGAAAGTGATACGTTTCTCTTCTATCTGGAATTGAGATCATCAGCTTGTCCAAGAACCATTCAGGATCTGGATTCGTGTTGTCGTGACTGAGACGCACCTTGTACACCTGGCAACGAGAATACAAACTACTCAATAACGATCATCCGATCGATTAATATTGGGTCGCTTCTCAATAGACCTTAACCACTTTTTTCCAATTTCAGACCACATGTCATTTTCTAGAGTATAATTTCTTTGTTTAACAGTTGCGCATGAAAAGACACATAAATATGGATACAAATCAAACAAATATTYTTATTCTCAGGAGAATGACATGTCGTCTGAAATGGGAAAATATTATGCCTAGCTAGGTAGATTGTGTCCAGAGAAGCGATGGAACTTATAATGGGGTCTCCAAAAACCACTCATAGGTAGACAATCCCGCTTGAATGAGATTGCCGCTTAAAAAGTCGATGCATGGTGATGATGATGATGATGATAATAATAATGATAGTGATCATGATCACTAGGTGATGATAACAATGATGCATATTGTTGGTGATGATGATGATAGTATTGATCACGATCATGATGCTGATAATGATGCTGATAATGATGATGACAACGATGATGATGGTGATGATAATAATTTATTTTTTAAATGCGTTTAGAAATCTCAATGCTCTTACAACAAAACTAGATTGTATTCAAATAATTAAAAAATAAAAAATAAATAAAAAGAGAAAATATATACGAAATAATTATGTAGATATAGATGATGACAATGACATCATTGATGCGTAATGATAATCGATGTTGCCATTCTTACCTTGCCTACGTTCATGGTCTGTACTTCAAACCTATCTGTTCTTCCTCGATCGAAACGCTTCAACGTTCTCGTTCTTCCCTCCTGTCTCAACATGATTTTCTCAGTCTGTCCATTTTCGCCAAATATCTGAAGCGTCACGTTGGCATCTGTTCCGGCGTGTGGCTTGTCTCCTGTCTTGAACACCAGCTCGTACGTCGTATCTTGAAAACAAACAGGATAAAATACATTGTTTCAATCGTGGTTTCCAAGGCGACCGTTCAGACCCCTTGCATTGGTTTCATAGAGGAATTGTTTTGGGGGACAAAACAATAGGCCGTCTTTTCTTATGCCAAAAAATTCAATTGTTTTGTCCCCCAGAACGATTTCTCTCGGGACTCGTGCAAGAGGTCTATACTGGTTTGCGATAAAAATGTAACGATTTGTAAACGAGGACCGATAGACCCCTTACAGCACGTCGGAATGCAGCTCAATTTAGAGGACATAACATTAGGTTTCCAATTCTCAGGGGGTTGAGATTCTTTTGTTTTGTGCTCCAAGTTGAGCTACTTTGACGCACATGCAAAGGGTCTATATCTACAAGCCTAATGAGCCCTCATTAGGGGGAATAAAAAGGGAGGTTCGCCATGTCAGTAGCTGCACCATAAAATCATTTCAATGGTTCTTACTTGGTGGTCTTTCGACAGGTTTTCCAGGAAAAAGTTCTCTCTCTATCCTACTGTCCCAGACATCCTCCGCCAGCCAGCATTGACAAGGAAAGTGAACATTAGCGCTATCTGTAGGCTTTACGTTCACCTCTTCCACGAACAAACCTTTGCCATAACCACGGCTGTTTTGACCAAAGATAATCTTTTCAATCTGAATGAAAAAGAAATTTATCGTATAAATTCCCTCGTAATTCCTAGGAAAATAACGTATAAAGTAGAGGACTGTAAYGCAAGGTCGTAGGACGAATAATGATCGGGATCGCCCGGGTTAGTCAAGTGAGTCTTGACTCTGAAGATGACCACTTCTCAGGTTGTGAAACCGTCAGTCACCAACAAAAACAGTCTTTCTAGGCCCGTTTGTACGAAGGGTGGATAGCGCTATCCGGCGGATAAATCCTTATACAGTGGAAAAAGTCGATGCTGTTATCCAATAAATTTATCCACTGGATAAGATTTATCCGTCGGATAGCGCTATCCACCCTTCGTACAACCGGGCCTAGAAAGACGACTCTCTCCCAACGACTGACTCATTGCTTATCAACTTCATCATCGTGTGAAGATGAAATCAAGGAAATCAAGGGTGGCGTAGCAATAGTATACCAGGTTCAACTCCTGGACTTACATTAGATGCGTGTGAAACACTGAAGTAGCAGTATTGCACTCGCCTCTCGCCTCTTACCTCTTGCCTCTTACCTCTCGCCTCTTACCTCTTGCCTCTTACCTCTTGCCTCTTACCTCTCGCCTCTTACCTCTCGCCTTTTACCTCTCGCCTTTTACCTATCGCCTCTTACCTCTCGCCTCTTATCTCTGGGGTATAGGGTTTGATTCCTGGGCTCCCGCGCGTACGAGTATTTTATTGAACCAATCATAGCGCGCGGTTATCTTAACTTCAGTCTGTACCATGACCGTGCCATTCGTGCCGTTTTCACGCTCCCCTAACATGATCCACTATATAATAATCTAGTCTCCATACTAACCTTTCCGATGTCCACATTCAAGGCTAGTGGGAACTGGTACGTTTTGGTTCTCTCCAGTAGACCATCAGGTCTTAATGGCACCTTGCTTGTCTCTCCTCTGGTTCCAATCAGGTAGATGTATAGGTGTGCATTGTAGTTTAATACCTCGCCCAGCCTGACCGACACTGTGTGGGTGGCATCTGGTAAAAAACAACAGAATTTCGTGTCCATGACCTTTTTATATTGATGGTTTGTGATTATTCCCAAGAGTGCCGGACAGTATTTATCAATAGGCCTTTTGCAGTTTACGGTCACTGTCTGTACTGGTGAGCAAAATTTTTTTATTTTTTTTAATTTGGTGATTCTTTTTAGCTATTTGTAAGGAACTGAATGAAACGATGTGTAACCAGTGTGTTACGAAATGCAGTTTTATTACGATATCTCGAAACAGGTTGTAGAAATTTTGTTTGCTCACCAGTATATTTAACCCATGAGTATCAAGAAGTTAGTTCAGTGAATAAATTAGCACGTGATTACTGAGCTGCAAAGGGCCTATTGCTGGGCCTAAATAGGCTGATAAAAGTCTTTGAATCTCATTATCTACTCCAAATGGTGTGTCTACGTTGCGATGATCGAATCGCAGGGTTCCCACAATACATGTCTATTAAAAAAAGAAACAAGCAAAATAAATTCCCCAAACTACGACAAAAATATAAGAATTGATAAACTTAAGAGAATTATATAAAGGCTTATAAATTCACTTTCGATCCAAAAATATCCATCCAGACTCGTTGACAAATAAAGAAGAATTGTCAGTCAATGTTTACATCATTTGACTTTAAAAAGGCTTTAAAAGACGAGCACTTTATAGGTTTCCTGACTAAATGTAGATTGAATATTGTATTATTATAGAATGTTATAGATATTTACTCAAGTAAGAAGTTCGTTTGCCATTCAAGGACTTGAAATAGGTGATAAAATATTTGATAATTTGGGAAGAATTGAAATGAGCTCAGCACGAAAGAGAACTGTACATGAATTTCAACTTACAATAGGGAAATCCTTCTCCATTCGACAGAAAAATTTCACGTTCCATGAAATGGTACGACAGTGGGACAGTAGCGACAGAGGGCAGCTTAATACAGCTATGGCAAAGCCCTGGCTTTACAAACCAAGACGAAGCGAACTAAATGTTTACTTATGAATCACTGTTTTTAATCCACAATCCCAGCGTGACAAGAAATATTTAACTAAAAAGATCTAAATACAATCCTTTTGTATTGATTTAAATAACACAGACATCAACAGAAAAAATACTAAAACAGCAGCGTTGACATATAGTTTATAATAATAAAAAACTTAGCACGGTTATTATGCATTCACGAATATAATTATGTCTTTTTTCAATTTTAAATCATTATAATCCTCGTTTATTTGCTTAGCTTGTTCAGAAAAGCCCAGAGTCTCTACAAACGAAGCTACTGTAAATAAAACAATAAATTGTACAATTTTTCTCCCGAAAAAGCGATAAAACTTCGACAGCAACTACTCTAAAACACAAAGTCTATCAAATTTGAATATCAAATGTGAATATTAAGTAAAAATGGTAAAAGTCAGGTTTTCTTGAAAAAGGAGGGGAAAAAATTCATAATTATAAAGAAGTATTTTTTGTTTATATATTTTTAAAATCTTACGTTTTTCGGGGATTGCAGGCGATAAAATTATTACCAAAAATATTTCACATTAGCAGCTTTGTACGTGGTTCTTTTTTTAGCTTTAACAGAAAAAGGTTAAACATGAAAAATTTGGTTTGGTCGGAGAGAATATTTTAGATTATAGCTCACCTGGTTGTTTCTCTTCTAAAAACACCATGTCGTGTTGAAATTCTTTACATATAATTTCGTGTTCAATTTATACGAAAAACGACAACAAAGCTACCGTTACGTTTACTAGTTCGCCATGATCGTTTCGAATCGTTCAAATCGTAGAGCGTATCCGTGCAAAATAAGAATAGATGTATTGATTGGTTGTTGAAATCATCGCTGGGGTATTATGCATATTGGCCGTTAGAGGGGTTAGGATATTGGTTCTTTGTCTAGAGCGCATTGTTTGTCGTATTTGAAAGGTGATTAGGATCGTTACCATAGTGACCAATGMTCCGTATGAAGCCTTATTTCGATATTTTATGCCCGTAAAACTGATTATACATATGTATATATATATTAAAAAGAAGGTTTTGTCAAAATATAATCAAAGGCAGCGTTACGAATGCGAAAGTTTATTAATRTTAAACAAGATAAAAGCGAGCTTGGTAGAAAGGACTTTGCAGAGTTTTGATTGCGTCTGTTTTTCTTTTCTTTTTTTTCCTTCTTTTGTTCCGCGTCCGTTCGTATTTCATTCCTTCCTTCTTTTTATTTTCCTTCTTTCCTTTTTTCGTTTATTCTTTCTTATTCTTTCGTTTATTCGTTCATTCTTTTGCTGTTTCTTTTTTCGTATTTCGTTCTTTCCTTCCTTCCTTTTTCCATTCTTTCTTTCCATTTTTTGTTCATTCTTTCTTTCGTTTATTCGTTAATTCTTTTGCTGTTTCTTTTTTCGTATTTCGTTCTTTCCTTCCTTCC